ATAAACTGGCTATCCTTGTTAAACGCATACTTTGGGGAGTATGGTTTGAATTCTTTTTTCTTTTTCTGGGCCGGCTGTTTAGAGGAATCAGCCGCCCAGACCTCTTTTCTTTTCTCGTCTTTGTTTGACGACTGTTTCTGTCGTCCTTCTCTTTTGTCGAACCTTTTCCCGTCTGACTGTTTTCCCGTACTACAAAGATCAGTCGCCTGTATATAGGATTCCGCTTCAATCAAGGACTCTTGAAGAGTCGCCACCCTCTTTCGGACCAAATCAAATTTAAAGGTCGACCCGTCTTTGAGACCTCTGAAAAAGTCAGTATAGGCTACTTCATCCGGTAACCCTTGAATCTGTATTCTCATCAGGTTAAACCGCCTGATGTAAGAACGAAGCCCCTCCTTCTCGCCCTGCTGAATTGTTCCTAAATCAAGGGTCGTCTTCTTCGCAGGGATGTTCATGGCGAAGTTGGAGGTGAATAAGTAAGCAAGCGTCCTGAAGCTATTTACACAACCAGTCAGCAGGTTGCCGAACCATTGTTGTGCGATTCCTTTGAGAGTCGCTGGGAAACACTTGCACCAAGTGGGATCATCCAACCCTTGAAGGTACATCAGGTTAGTGAATGTCATCAGATGGTCTTCTGGGTTAGTAGTGTCGTCATAGGCGCCTACTAATACATTTTTCACTTTAGCCGGCTGAGCGGCGTCAGTAATTTCCTTGGAGAAGGCCGACGGCTGTTCGCCAAGTCTAAGCAACCGTAGCTGCCAGTCCATAGGTTGGACGTTTTTTGCTGCATGTCCACCAAACGGAGGTGGCTGTAAGAAATATTGTTGTTGCGGTACAAACGGTAAGTTTGGTACCGCCTGGTCGCTATGAAAGCCGGACTGACGGGAGGTGCCGCCTGACTGACTCTCATGATACGACTGAGTGTGCCTCATCGAGGTATTTCGCAGACTGTCTTGAAAGTTTGAAGTAGAGGCCGACTCTGACAATCGGTCACTCTTCTTCTGCTCTAGCAGTAGCCGAGCGTCTCTGTATATTTTCTAGTTCCTGGAGTAGGAAAACGGTATTTTGTGAAATCGAGGGCAGTCGGCTCCCGCTTCCTAGATTTAGGATGAGGAGTCGCCTCTCGCCCTTGAACTGGCTTCCTCTTCTGTGAAGTGGAGGGTTTCTTAGCCGACTGCTCCTTGTCCAGAGCAGGCGGCTTCTTGTTGATCAACTCTTGAATTTCTCCCTTGAAGTCCCTCATGAAGGTCATGAGTTCGTTCCTTGTGATGGGAGCAGACCCATCAGTCGGCTGCTACCGAACAGGCGGTGCGCCTGCTGGCTCGCTTCCTGTATGAAGATGTTCCCGTTCCCTCCTTTCGGTATGACGGGTACGTCGGGCCCTTAGGGTCCCGTCTGAAGCTGTGTGAGCTTCAACTTCAAATTCATTCTCAGTATCGTAGTCCGACTGAACTAGAGGGTCGTCTAGGGGACGCCTCTCTTCAGGAGTCGGTACAAACGTGGATGTCATCTCAGAAGTACTCTCCCCACAGACGGCGCCAAATGTTTCGGGGTTTTCTGATGTCCTGCGGGAGAGTTACAATTCCGAGACTGGAACCGGACGCCTGTACCTGCAAAACAACGGAGACTCCTGGTGGTGGGAGCTCCGCCTCCAACGGTCAAGTTAGTACTTGATTAAGGAGTAATTAATGCGGAAATTAAAGTGATTGGGTCTCTCTAGGTGAGAGTGTTTAATGTATGTAATCTGCTTTTTTAGCGTGATCAGCATGTAAATCATGTAATCTCCCTTAATGAGGATTAAGGGAGGTATTTATAACCTTGGGAAACGTGCCAATCCTAGGTTTAAGTTAACCTAGGGCTGATTGGGCTTCCCTCGGAAGTTGGGCCTGGGTGGCTTGTTTCTCCATTAGGCATGGAGTATGCCACGTGTCATGACATAATAGGTCCAAGGTGGACGAATAAGCGTGTGCCACGTGGCAAGCCCTGACAGTTCCAACTGGGGGACACTTGGCAGGACCTGATTGGCCCACGTGGCGCATTCCGATTGGTGGGAGCAAAATCCCCTAATCAATGCCCAACATCAATATTTATAGGTGATGTATGGAGGTGGAAGAAGTGTGTGGAAAACTCTACACACATGCTCTTTAAATTGCCACATAAATCTAGAGTCTTCCTGACCTTCACCATTTCTAGATTCTTCCACAATTCTCCATCAAAATCTCAATGTAGTTGAGTAATCCAGAAACTTTGAGAAATTTTGAGATGTAATAAGTTGGGCTATGGAATTTGGGTCACACTAATCCAACACAAATAATGCAAACAGGAGCAACTTATTACAGAATTATAGGCTAGGAATGAAGTAAAAGGATTCGATAAAGATAAATGAAGCTAATCAATAACATCATACTAAAACAGACACCGGGAATTACACATGTCACTTCATGGTGTTGTTTTTCCCCTCCAAAACTCCCCCAGCGGTTTTTTTTTTCCTATTTTTTTGTTTTATTTTTGTCAATGCCATCAACTACCTATTATAAATTATGTACAAATTATTCAACAAATCATATTATTATGATATTTTTTATTTACATATTTCCTTAATCTATCTTAAAATATTTTCCATATCTATTAATTCTTAACTATAAATATTACTTCATATATTACATACAATACATCATATACAATACTGGTGGGTCAGATATAAGCTTAAGGTTATTAATGTGTTTATAGATTTGGTGAATGCAATGGGTAAAACATGTATCATATTTTATTTACTAAAGCGAATGATATGACAAGAAAATCTTAGTTTTTTCCCTACGAAGATAGAAAATGATTTAGTCTACTTCTCTTATATAAGTTATATGGAGCATTATTCATTTATTTTTCAATTAATAAAATAACATTATCAAAATCAAATAGCTTAAATGACTATTTAAATTACAATCCTTTATTTTTGTATCGATCATTAGCATGAGCCCTTCATTACTAATTGAATTAATTTTTTTTCCTACGAAATTAATAATTTGATTTATAAACCGTCACACAGGTACTATGCTAGTTAATAATATAAGCAAGCTTTGTCTCCAATCCAACTTTAATATCCTACACTATGGACTATATTTTTTATCATGCAATTGTATAAATGTATCGTTTTGATTTGTTGATTTGTATTATTATTCTTTGGCTCACTTGTTTTTTATTTGAAAAATTATACAATAATGTAATATTTTATTCTTTTGTAAGAAAAATAATCCTACTAAACCGATACCACTCACAATCTCTACCCAAAAGGTACGATGAAGCCGTGAAGGTAAAGGAATATGCACTTCCAAAGACAATAAGCATTCAGATGGTGAGGTTCAATATAATTTAATCAAAATTAGTGACATATACATATTGCACATTTATACAACCTACAAAATAGGGAGAGGAATCAAATTCATAGAGTAGTTTTAAAACTTTAAATGAAAAAAGACATGTGATATTTGTATAAATTGTATCCTCCATTGAAGCAGCTTCTGAGGTAAGATATTTTTCTTTTTGTAATAATCGAACATCAATTTTATAATCTAGGATTTATTGTTAATTTTATTGTCATTATGCTCAACTTAAACTCGATAATTTAGGGTTCGTTTGGCATTGTTGTACTTTTTTGTTTTTTGGATTTTTGTTTTTTAAAATCATATGATATATGTTACATAATGAATCAAAAATTATTTAAACTTATAAAACTCATGATAATTTTGAAAACTGACAACAGAAAAGTGAAAATACCTTTTTCTTGTTTCCTATTTTTACTTTGTAGTTTTCAAAAAAATAGGAAACTGAAAATAAAAAACGATGTCAAACAAGCTTTCATTGGTTATTATTACTAAGGTTATGATAGATCATCGATTTTGTTGCTAGAGAACCAAATTATGTGCCTTTTCGAGATTAATCTTACAACTCAATTAACTTACCTAATTTGATAATGAAATTATGTACTGTTGTTTTTGGATAGAATTATGTAATTGGATTTATTTTGTACATAAAGTTATATGATATTTTGAGCCTAATTTGATAATGGAATTAAATTTACCTGTGAAGTTTGAATGGAACTAACTAATTGTACCTCTTTTTTTTTACATATATTTTTCCTAAAATTTATTGTACTATAAGCAGTAAAACAGAAAGAACTTATCTCTTGATGCGTGAACCAGAAAGAACAGTAGTCGTGTCGTGGTGAACCACTGACCTAAAAGACGATTACACGCTACCTCCCGGTGCAGTAGACAAGAAGCGGTCGCCCTCCAGGATAAGCACGGCGCCGGAGTTTATGTGCACTCACAAACCCGACTGGAATTCAGAATATTACGAAGAACAGTATTTGTATTTTAGAGAAGAGAGAGTGGTACGAATTTCTGTGTATTTTTGCTGAAGAGAGACTGAGCTTATATAGGCAGGCAAGCATAAAATAAGGAAACTGCTGCAACAATTAAGGAGAATAATGACCGGCTATATCAATAGTCAAAAACGGCTAGATTAATTAAGGAATTAATCACTGATTCCCAACAGTCAGAAACAGTCAAAGCCGGAATAAATTAAGGAATATTCTGTCAAATAAAATTTCTCTAAAAAGGTAAAATGGACCCACGCATGCGCATCGCATTCTCCAAGTCTGGTCCAGGTCGGCGCGCGCGCGCGCATGTGGTACAACACCCACTTTCAAGTCACTCAACTAAGTAGTACTAAGATACTACAATATATAAATAAGGAGAAAACCTCTTCCCCCCACCAAAATGGGATATTTCCCCTTCATCTCTCTCTCATTTTTTCTTCTAACACTCTTGTTTTATATCAAGAACTTCCAACAAAATTATATGATTTTTTGAACCTAATTTGATAATAAAATTAAATTTACCATTGATGTTTGGATGAAACTATGAAATTGGACCCTTTTTTTTCACCTAAAAATATGTATGGCTGATCCATATATTATTTATTTTCCTAAAGAAAAAGAGATGGACAATAGAGAAGATCGAGTAGCTTTAAGGTTATGTGAGAAGAGGATGTGCGTTATGAGCAAGAATGAAAGCTTTGATCGGATCTCGTGGTTGCCGGAACATGTTCTCCATGTGATACTAGATAAACTTCCATTGAAAGATGCAGGTCGAAGTTCTGTATTGTCCAAGACCTGGAAAAGTGTTTGCAGTTCATACCCCATTGCCCCCTTTGTAAATTTAGATCATAACTTATTTGGACTGAAATTGCTTGAAGGTGGGCAAGAGCCTGATATTGATGAAATAAGGGAGAATTTTATGGATTTTGTGGATGATCACTTGTCCTAACTGATACAAAATAAATTACGCGTACAAAAGTTAGCATTGTATGTGGCAGTAAGTGATTCCATATGTTTCTCCCGCGTTGATCACTTGATTGAGTTGGTCACAAGACTAAGTATAGTTGAAGAATTGTGCTTGTTTGTACAGACAAAAGACGCTGGGTGGAAGGAAATCGATGAGGATTCTGTTTATTACAGTATCTACTTCTCTGTTCTGGCTTCTAAAGGATTGTGTTCCCTTAATGTACATGGATGCAAGTTTTCTAGCAACATGTCGATTGCCTTTTCCTCTCTGCAGTACTTGTCCTTATCGTATGTTGTGATCGACAAGGGTGATGTAATGAATACAACGCGCTCTAGTCCTGCGATTGAAATTTTAGAGTTTGATCATTGCACATATTGGATTGAAACCCTTGAGCTTTCGGTATTTCCTAGGCTAAAGAAAGCTACTTTTCTTGAAAATTATGATTGGCTCTCTAATAGAAGGATTCAACCAACAGCGGAGTATAGCTTCCACGAGGAGCAGGCTTACCCCCCCTATCCCGAGCACTCACGCTAAAAATTGACTTACTAAAGACAGGAAGCTTTTGTTGATAAAAAATGAAAGAATGGATCACACTGGTCTTGAGTGTTTCAAGAGCGATGCTTTTACGACATGTGAGTTTACTCCAGCTGCTTGTGGTAGTATCAGAGAGCTGACCATGTCTTCTCAAAGTTTTGTTAGCCCGCTTAATCTTTTTGTAGACCTAGATACTTTTCCACTCCTTGAGGAGGTCGAACTTAGTATAGAATTGACTTGTTTAGATGGTGCAAATACTTAGAGCGGCTAATCATCATCTGAGGAAATTATCTTTTTCTATTCGTAAATTTTACAAAGGTATTCAAGTGAAGAAGATTGATATTGATTGTCCAGATTTGGAGTGCTTCAAGTTTCAAGGTGGTGGTCCGAAAAAGATTTTCATCAACTGTCCTAGCCTAAGGCAGTTCCACTATGTCGGGGATGAAATTCCCGGTGTTGCCATTATTTAACTCATCATCACCTACGGGTTTGGAATTTTCAACTTGGTACGATTTACAATTTCAACGGTCCGTGGATTATCCAATTGAGGGGATTAACTGAACAGATGGCTCAATTGGGACATGTGGTTTGTCTAAATCTAGATTGTTTTGTATAGAAGGTGATTTTGAAATCTTCTCTGTTTCTTAAAATTTTACAATATATCAATAGTTTATTTTGTTAAGTTGGTCCTTTAACAAACCGCGTGCTTTTTATTTGATTTTGTCCCAAGGAATTTGGAGCTAATGAGGCTTTATGACAGCATAATGTTCACTTAGAAATCTATCTGCAGCAGCTTCATATTCCAGCTGGATTCGTTGATGGCTTAATTTGGAGAACTTGTGCAACCACCTTAACTATTCACGGTCTTCAACATGATTTCGTCAAGATAATAGATTATTCATTCACTTGATAAGTTGAAATAATAGACGTCAATGCTTACATTATGTTTGATTTTTAGGAAATGTGTCAAAAATTAACCAAGAAATCTCAAGATGAAAGTTGTGAGAAGAGTTGCGACAAATGTTGGTGGCATCACGTACGAGGATTTGAAGTTGAGAGCTCGGTCAAAGATGAAGACGTTACGTGTAATTTGGCAACTCTTATAGAGACGGCCCTGTCGTTTAGATGACCTAAGACTTCTTTCAAGTTAGGGTGGCTCATAAATCAGTATAATAATGCTTCAAGCCTTCAATGCATTTAATAGGCTTAATTTGGAGTCAAATATTGCATTATTAACACTGTTTGTGAAGGACTAAGTTTATATATATTTAGTAAAATATTTTATTTGAAAAATACAAACAAATCGTGCATCACACGGGCTTCATCTAGTAATTTTATGTTTTGGAATCAATAGGCAACTCAACGTACACTTTCCTAGATCTTTATACTAAGTATAAGGGATGGGGGGAGGACTTGTTGTCTACCTAAAATGTCTGTAATATCCCTCCTCCGTTGAATATAGAATTGTGATATTAATAATAATAATGAGGTGGAAAAAAGGTCAATCAATTAACAATTATTTAGAATCATAAAAAAATAATATATAGAATCAAATTGATCATACATAAATCAATGAAGACTTGAAGCTCAATACTATATCATTATCATTTAATCGTATATCTAAGGGGGAAATTATACATTTGTATGTAGTAGTGCTATCTTAATTAAAAACATTTGAGTAATCATCTATTCTCATATCTTAAAGTAGATTAATTAGACATCACTCTCATCAGTCCTCAAATAGTTATATATTTATTCTTAAATAAACCTGGTCCACATTAAATTTAATGTGGACCAGAAATTGTCACGTGCGCAAGATTATATGATCCAACAAAAAGCACAATTTTTGCACCTCATTCATTTTCTCTCTCTTTCTCTACTTTCTCTCTCTTCTAAGCTCCTCTTTCTCTACTTTCTCTCTCTTTAAAGCTCAAATTTCTAATTGAATTTGAAGATTGCTTAATTTCTTCTTCAATGGCGTTAACCAGAGGCGGTGGAACATTTAGGAGGAGAAGAGGCTTTCGTTCTTCAAATGCAAATTGCAATAATCAACCAATTCCTGGTATAATTTTGTTTCCGAGTTGATTTCTACATTTTTAAGCTGATTAATCGTTGTTTTTCTTCAATTAAAGCTATTTGCATGATTTTTTATCTGGATTTTGTTTCGTATTTTCGATTTTAGTTGGCAATTTTATCAAATTTTTTTCCTGTGATTTTGTTCGTTTCTTGTGTGATTTTGCGTGTTTTGTTCATCAATTTTGTTCGATTTCCAGTGTGATTTTGCGACTTTTGCTCATCAATTTTTTCGACTTTTTTCATCAATTTTGTTCGATTATGTTTGATTTTGCGATTTCCTGTTTGATTTTTTAAAATTTCTCTTTCTTCGAGGTTGATAATGGAGGTTCGACGACGTTCGGCGGCGAAGATGCGGCGGAGATGGTGACTAGGCTTCGGCGGAATTTCGTGATCTTATCATTAAATATGCTATAATTTGTCTGCGATCTCTGTGATTCAAGTATTTTTGTTCCAGAATCTATTATTTCGTTGAAGGTAAGTTGTTCTGCCTCTTTCTCTATTTTTGTTTTTCGATTGGCTAGGTTAAATTGCCTATTTAATTATTGTTGACTGTTGTAAATCGATTTGTTGATTGTTGTTAATCGATTTGTTGATTGTTGTTAATCGATTTGTTTTTTAGTTGTTTAATTCTTCTCTTGTTAGTTCTTAGCGACTGAGATCCTTATTCCTTAGTGTGATTTTGAATTTTGCCGATCAAATTAGTGAAGCATGAAAATCTTATTATAACTTATTGTCAATGATAGTTGATAATTTCAGAGTTTTTTTCCAGATTTTTTTTCTCATTTTTTTTTTATTTTGATTGCTCTGGCAATTGATGAATATTTACTCCGTTTTTCTTTTGTTGATTGATAAGGAGTGCATTTTGTTTTTTTACTTCTGAAATGTTTGATACTTTTTATTAGATTGATTTCAATTGTATTCAGGTGCAGATATTATTGCATTTTTGAGAATTAATGAGTTGAATTTGACTTTTAAATTTGCTGAATTTCATTTGGTTATTGTTAGATTTTTGGAAGAAAAAAAAATATGGTTAGAGCTTGATGAATTAATGGGCCGAGTCAAATGTCACTTTGTTTTCTTCATTGCACCTCAAAAAGCAGTATACGATGTTTTTTTTTTTTTTTTTTTTTTTTGAGGGAAAAGTAGTATACCTTGTTTAATCTTGCATAAGTTGGATTTTCTAATTTTAGTAAAAAAATATGGTCATGCAGAACATTACTTGCCAGAAGATTGATCCGTATGGAGCATTGGTGCCTTGGTTTCTCTGAGGTGAAAGACTTGATTCAGAAGTAATGGGATGTGCAGATTCAAGGTTCAACCATGTTATCAATGATATGGTTACCTCTATTTGTATATAGATATAGTTTCCTTATTTTTATATGTAGTGACCTTTGTGTAAAAGTTGTCAAAATTGATAAAGTTACCTTATTTTTATATATAGTGACCTAAGTTCAAGTGTTGTCAAAATTGATATTGTTACCTTATTTTTATATATAGTGACCTTTGTGTAAAGGTCGTCAAAATTGATAAAGTTACATTATTTTTATATATAGTGACTTATGTGCAAGCGTCGTCAAAATTGTTATTGTTACCTTTATTTTATATATAGTGATCTCTGTTTAAATGTCGTCAAAATTTATATAATTTGATATAATTACCTTATTTTTGTATATAGTGACCTCTAGGTAAATGGGGTCAAATTGATATAGTTAATGTTTAAAATAATGTGTTTTGCTGCTTGCTTTGGCACGTGAGACCTTTGGTTTACAATAAGTTTATTGTGGATCAGGTATACCCAAGAATTATTGATAATTATATACATTTATTATTTTAATTATCCCGGTCCGCAAAAGCATGTTAGGGCCCAGCCCGCTAGTTGGGCTGAATCTTTAACCCAAGTACCCAACCCGGCCTTTGCATTATTTAAACAGGGGCATCTGGGAATTGAAATCGAGACCTCTAATAAAAAAAAAGTAATTATACACATACGAAGTATATTATTGTTTTAACCCAGTCCGCAAAAGCTTGTTAAGGCCCAGCCCGATCTTCACATTATTTAAACAAGCGCATTCGGGAATTGAAATCGAGACCTCAGATAAAATACAAAGAAAAAAGTCACTACTGTGGGGCATTCCGAGAATTGAACTCGGGACCTCTCGCACCCTAAGCGAGAATCATACCACTAGACCAAATGCCCTTTATGTAATCCATTTTCAAATTTTAACAATTTAAAACAAAAATTTAAACAATAATCCTAACTATTCTTCATCTGGAAAAAAAATAAAATAATGTCGACGAGTTACCGAAGAATCCAGAAAAAAACATTCTACTTTTTCTTTTTCTTTTTTTCTTTTTTTTTTTACAAGAACGTTCCACTTATTTCTACAACCTTCACTCCAACGAAAATTCTAGAAAACTTAAAAAAAAAAAAAAAAAAAAAAACCCTTCCTATATATACACTCTCCTCCTCCTTCCTCCATCAATCAATTGTCTGTCCAAAAACTTGTGAAAAACTTTCAATTCAAACACTCAAATCTCAATTCTTAATTTTTTTTCCTATTAAATTTTTGAGCTCTTAGAATTTGGTTTTAATGGCGGGTAAAGGAGAAGGTCCTGCAATCGGAATTGATCTCGGCACGACCTACTCGTGCGTCGGAGTATGGCAACACGACCGTGTTGAGATCATTGCTAATGATCAGGGTAACAGAACGACGCCGTCTTATGTTGCTTTCACTGATTCTGAGCGTTTGATTGGTGATGCTGCTAAGAATCAGGTTGCCATGAACCCCACCAACACCGTCTTTGGTATGTTCTCTCTTCTTCTTGTTTTGGTTTTACTGAGTTTGCATTGCTTGTGATTTATATTCTCAATTAAGTTAATTGGATTTTTCTTAAGGTACTTTTTTTTTAATCGTTGTTTATTC